TGGTGGGCAGAGCACAGATAGCCCATTGTGTAGCTTTGTGCTTAACTTCAAACCAACAAACTAAACGAACATAATTGTATATAGAGAGAACAACCATTTGTTCTTCGAGGTAGAACATGTGGTGTTGTCAACCAGACCGGCACCTTGTATGACACATGGGTAAACGGCTTATCATAACAATCCTTAATTTACAACCACTGACAACAGTGAAAACATCCAGTCAGCAGCACCCACCACCTACCCGAATAGTGCAATTGATTGTCACTTTTATCACATGCTCATATCTGAATTGCGGAGCATGGTGGCATATCGTGGATTCGGACCTCGGATCTTCTGATCCTCTGCTCGATATATTAACCACTAGGCCTTTCCTGTATAGCTCTCAATTCTTTGAGTAAGTAATGAGGAAACTTAAGAATAACAGAAAACATCGTTATATACATTTAACAAAAAGCGAAAAACATAATTCAGTCGTCAAGCGATATAGTTGCAATGCTTAGTCACGTGACTAAAATGTGACCACTCAGTGTTATATAAAAGAATCGTTGGTTACCAAGGTGACCTGAAAAAACAACTCTGATTTACTGTGGGAGGGGACACATCTAAAGAGCTTTATATTGTAATGTGAAACAGAGTTTTAAATTAAACCAGACCAAATAACAACGTAGAATTATTCTGTGCGGAATATTTCAATAGTAGGTTTGGTCAAAATCTAGAAACTGATAAAATTCAAAGCTATCTTTGTAACTCAACCCCTTTGAACACTGATAGGATTGTTAAGGAGTAATCGAGATAACCTCATTGGTTCCATTTAATATGCAGTTAAATGTGGAAAATAGTAAGTATCACAACCTCGGACTCACCCTAACCTCACTTTCTCAATGTCATGGTTATTCAATGTGCTTTCACCAGTTTTAAACAACCTGCACTGTTTAGTGTTGACTTTCAAGTATGAAACCTAGATTATTTCGCTGCTGAACCCTATTACATGTTAATTACATCCAATTACTTGATTTTACGCTTATATCTTTGCACAGTTAGGCCTACACGGTAAGCCTGCTGGCTTATATTGGCTTATATAGTATTCTTCTGTTAACCTTCCTTAGTTTTAATATTGGTCTCTAAGTGTTCATACGTCAAGGAAAGTTAAAATGGGTTATTTAATTTGATTTACACCTTTCGTTTTCTGTTTGATGTTAAGCACAAAGCTGCACAATGGGCTATCTGTGCTGTGCCCACCACATAGATCGAGCCCCGAACTTTTATTTTATAAGCCCTCAAGCTCATCGCTGAACTACAGTTTTCCATCACATAGTCTCTTCAAACTATCAACTAGTCTCAGATATAATTAAACATCACTAAAAAGCATGGATGAAGCTGTCAGTTTGTCAAAATGTTTAAACTCAACAGTCA